GTCCGGCCATGCTGAGGCAGCGTCCCACATACAGCAACTAGGAGGATGTGCAACTATGACATACAACTATCTACTGGGGCTTTGGGGAGAAAAAAGGGAAAAAAAAAAGGAGGAGGATTGGTAATAGATGTTATCTCAGGGCCGGTCTTCCTCAGCAAAAAGAGGAGGATTGGCATGGATGTTAGCTCAGGGCTGATCTTCCTCACAAAAAAAATACATAAATAAAAAATTGAATAAATAAATAAATAAAAATAGAACCCTCCTGGACTCTGCCCCATGCGTTTCTTCCTTTGGCTGATTTTAACCTGTATCCTTTCCGTGTAAAAAACTGTGACTATGCATATAATAGCTTTCAGTGAGTTCTGTGAGTCCTTCTAGCAAATTATCAAAACGGAGGGTGGTTTTGGGAACTCTTGAACTTGTAGTTGGTGTCAGAAATGAGGGCAGTCTTGGGGAATGTACCCTCTAAACTTTGTAGTTGGCCCCAAACTCCTTCCAAAAGGCTTCATGGAGGAGGCAGCAGTGAAGCAAGTCCCTAAGGATGTGTTAGATTTGGCCAGGTAGAAAGAAGAGCAGGAAGGGAATCCCAAGTTATCAGAGGCCAGAGGTAGGCATTCCACAAGAAGAGAGGATTCCAGGGACATCGGAGCAGAAGGCTCTGTTTTCCTGACGTCAGTGTCCTCATCTCTCTGGGAATGCTGATCACGTTGGCGTTCCATCACAGACAGACTTAGAGCAAGATGGCACAAGACATGTTGGAGAGAACGTCTACATCTGCTCAGCCCTTCATTAGCTACTGAATGACACTAGTCTAAAATCATTCTCAATTATTCCTGATAGTAATGAATAACCCCTCCCTCTCGGGAAATAGTGAGGAAAACGTTACAAAATAACAAGATAAAAACAGTATTTAATGAGTGCTTACTGTTTGCTGGGTACTATTCTAAGTGCAAGGTATAGAGTAATGGACAAATACTGAAATATAAACAGGATGTCAATAAATATTGGGAGCTTGACAGAGCTCTGGGAAAGTAAAGGGAGCAGGATCCCAGGAGCCTGGTTTTGACCACCCTGAAGCCATTTATCATCCATGTCCTCTATTCTTTCATAAAAACTACCATCCAAGATCACTGTTTTAAACTCACTCAGAAATTGCTTATGTGGGGCCGGCCCTGTGGCTTAGCGGTTGAGTGTGCGCACTCCGCTGCTGGCGGCCCCGGGTTCGGATCCCGGGCGCGCGCCCACGCACCGCTTCTCTGGCCATGCTGGGCCCGCGTCCCACATGCAGCATCTGGAAGGATGTGCAGCTATGACATACAACTATCTACTGGGGCTTTGGGGGAAAAATAAATAAATAAAATAAAATAAATAAAAAAAATTGCTTATGACATGAAATCCTAGATTTCAGAGCAAGAAAGACTCTTGGGAGGTCATCAGGTAAGTCCCAGGATTATCCCAGGTTTATTGATGATGCAGCTCCATCTCGCATGGTGAGTAGGGAACTAGAACTCTGGTGTTCTGTCATCCTACCTAATGATCTCTCTACCACATCACATTGCCTCTTGATGACACTGGACCACCTTAATCATGTGCAGTACCTCATTCTTGAGCTTCTGGGGTAGAGCTGACTTTTAAACCTTGCCACATCTCCTTTCCCTGAACCTGGAATCCTGCTTGCCTAGCAGTGGTCTCCATGTCCTCCCTAGGGTGCTCCCCGCTGCCCTCTGTACCTGAGCAACTAGCAGACCACTGCATTTCCATAACGCTGGAAAACTGGATGCTGAGAGGCAGGTGGTCAGACTGCTGCTGTCTTTTGAAGGTTTGGGGCCAGCATTGAGCAGCAATTGAAAGCAAATCTCTATTGGGCATCTGCTATGAGCAAGACTTGCCAGACATCTTATGCCTTTGCTCAGTAACTACACTGTCCAGGCTCCTGGATAGATTTGACCGATAGGTCGCAATGATGGAAGACTGGAAGGTAGAAGGAGTGAAAAACCAGGGTATTCCACCCCCGCTCCACCTCAGGCAGCATCTCCATCAGCATCTGAATGTTTTCCATGACTCCATCTTCTGCTGCCTAGTTCCACCATCACTCTCATCCATTGGCTCTGGTGTCCCATCCTAGACATAGTAGTGGCTTTTTGCTGTTGCCAATCTCTGGGTTGTTTCATTGTTTCCTGTTCAGCCTCTTAGCTCTTCCCATTAATTGGGGAAACAATTCCCTGTATTAAATTCCTTCTGAAATACCTGGTGGTTTCCATCTTCCTTTTGGACATCTAGCCATCAGGGAACTGAGGTTGGAGAATCGAGAGTTAAATATATGCAAAACACTGGTAAAATAAAATGGAGAAATTCCGTACATTTACTAAAAATCACTAAATTGTATATTTAAAATGGGTGGATTTTATATTATGTAAATTATACCTCAATAAAGTCGTTTTTAAATATCCAGGAGAAAATAAAGTAAAATGTAGGGTGAGTAGATTAGACCAGTGATCTCCAAACATTTTTTATCATAATCCCCTGACAAAAAGAAACAAAATTTGAGTATGCACTTCCAATATTTCTGGGCTTGTTTATTTAAATTATGTACATGTTAAACTCCTTTACTATATGATACCTTATAAAATAGCTACAAAATAGAAATTTAAACAGATAGAAAAACACATAAATAGAAATTCTAGTGATTTCTTGCTTTACCTCAGTGAATCGTCTTACACATCTCCTGGGGTGCCTATGCCCCACTTTGAAACCATTGACCACTGATGTAGGCAATCAACAAAGAGCTCTGCAAGGGACTCCAGAGCAAGACAGAAAGATGGGGGATTTCATTTTTCTTTGTCTCTTTCTCTTCTCTCTTTCTTTCTCACTCTCTCTCTCTTTCTTTCTCTCTCTCTTTCTTTCTTTGAAGGAGCCTAAATTAGACAAATGCATCAATAACAGCCACTACTTTGACTGTTATAATATAAAGGGATTTACATATCCCTTTATAGTTTTTTAAGTGCTTTCTCACATGTGTTATCTTATGTGCTCTTTCAAATAAAGAGAAATAAAGTGGATCAAAATAGGAGATAGAAGGGGGAAAATCTTGAATGCCTGACCAACAGGAGTTTGGACTTGATCACAAGAGCAATGCTGCCATATCAGGTGTATCAGATTACAGAGGGGATGTTTACATTCCAAAGTCCCCCCAGATAGTTGGCTTCCTTATCTGTGGTCAGAGGGTAGAACCAGAAGGTAGGGCGTGGAGTAACACCTCACTCTAAGTGAAGTGCCCTAGAATAGCAGATTCCAGTTCTCAGAAGATAAATGGAAGGTAGTAATGAGCTTTCCCACTCTGGGATGCATCTTTCAGCACTTTAGAACAGAGAATTAGTAGGTTTAGCCAACTACCATCCTACCCTTTCTGTTACATTGCTTCTCCATCCATGTGAATACTATTGGTGTATTCAGTTTCCAAAATGATGCATTTGTGTGGCTCTCCCAGCCAGGAGGATGTATGTAGCTGTTTTCTTTTTTTTTTTTTTAATTTTATTTATTTATTTGTTTCCCCCAAAGCCCCAGCAGATAGTTGTATGTCATAGCTGAACATCCTTCTAGTTGCTGTATGTGGGATGCGGCCTCAGCATGGCCGGAGAAGCCGGTGCGTTGGTTAGCACCCGGGATCTGAACCAGGGCCGCCAGCAGCGGAGTGCGTTCACCCAACTGCTAAGCCACGGGGCTGGCCCTCTGTAGCTGTTTTCACTCTAAGGTATTTTCCCTGATTCCTGTATCTCTTTCTCCTTCAGCAGTCTGAGCTCAGCAGGTCATGTTCCATGTGGGTACCATATTCAGCTCCATTCCCAGGAAACAAGGCAGGGCTTTGAATTGGTCCCTACTTTCTTCCTTTCTCCCTATCCATTCCCCCACCAGCTGAGCTATCTGTCCTGCTCACTGCAGGAGCATTATGAGAACCACAGGGAATGGCTAGCAGGACAGTGCTTTGAAAAGTATAAAGCTGCCCTCTACAGAAAGCACCCTAGGGGATTGGTAGAGGTAGCCAGTGCAGCAATGGAAATAACTACATTATTTAGTGCTGGGGTTCATGTCATTTTCCTGCTGGAAACCCTTCAGTGACTCTCCTTTGACCAAAGTCCTAAGAGGATCACTTAATGGCCTTTGCCCATAGAGAGGTTATGGCAGTCTGCCTGGCGGGGAGCAAAAAGAACCTGTGTCCTCTCAGTAGCATTGTAGGAGTTGCCACAGGACCTGAGCCAAAGAGAGATGGATATCTATTTATAAGACTATGAATAATTTCTTCAAATTAAGGTCAAATTGAGGCCTTGACCTCATATCAGGTGAAGCCATAGATCCATACACAAAAAAGAGACAAAGGAGGAGACAGGTCTGTGGCGTGGCCGAGTGGAGACACAGAGAAGGTGCAGATTAATCTTCAGAGACCTTTGCTCCTGAGATGGGTGATGTGACGCGGCCCCATTGGAGGGAGGATGTTGCCAGCGGAGTGCTAAAACATCTTGGCTTTGCAGTTGGACAACCTGGGTTCAAATCCAACTCCAACAACCTTGCAAGCAGGCTACTTAACTTCATCTGTAAAGGCTCCTTCAGCAGATGTTCATGAGGTTAAGTGAAATAACATACCTTGTGCTTTGTATTAAAGCATTACTACTATTATTCTTGTAAAGGTATGTATCATTCTGCCCTGTGTCCAAGTTCGTTGTTAACGCACATCTCCCCAGCTTGTGACAAAGCCTGGTTTCACTGATGTCTGTTTCTTCCCCTCAGCAACGAGCACAAAGCTCCAAAAGTGTGTTGTGTGGAATCGTGCATTGATTTCTAGTTGTGTCATGTTTCTAAATTTTATCTCTTTCACTGGAATCTAGATACTTAAGAGTGCCCTGCCTGTACAATTTCTATCACAAAACTGGCACACACCTACCAGAACTTAGGGAAAAATTTGTGCCTGATTAGAAAAGATGTTCAAGTTGTGCTCTTCCTTCCAGGGATTTCCCAGATGACCCAGGTGTGCAGTGGGACACAGAGCATGTGGCCAGCGTCCTCCTCTGGCACATAGAAGAGAATGGCATCAACCTGGTAAGGGGACGTGAGAATAAATTCACACCCGCTACAGGGAGAACATTTTCGTCGCAGTTAGAGCAATAGTGGAGATTCACATTTACTTGCAGAGGTGGACAGGTCTGGGAACACCCATCTCAGCTCTACTGGGATCCTTGTCAGTGCTCGATTTTAAGCCTCCCAAGAAGGCTTTCTGTCCACCTCCAAAATAATAATAATAGGCCTTCATGGGTTAATACCTAAAATTCTACCATTTAAAGCCCCAATCTTTTGGCTTAAGTTTTGATTAATCCTCATTAAAAGATGAATCCTGGGGCTGGCCCGGTGGCATAGTGGTTAAGTTTGCCCGCTCTGCTTCAGTGGCCAGGGGTTCACAGGTTCAGATCTCAGGCGCGGACCTATGCACTGCTTATCAAGCCATGCTATGACAGGCGTCCCACAAATAAAGTAGAGAAAGATAGGCACGGATGTTAGCCCAGGGCCAGTCTTCCTCAGCAAAAAGAGGA